ACAAAAAAAAATCCTATAAATAATATAATAAAAATGTTAAAATAATCTTTGAGACATTAATATTTAAATAATATAATAAATAAGTAACTTTGTAACACGATTTATTCCCCTAAATTACGATTAAGTTGATATAGGCCATGGTCTATTTTGTTCACCAAACTTTTAAATTTATTTATTCATTAAAGCATTAGTAACAAGTATCTAAACATTTTTTTCACACTTTCACATTATAATATTAATAGAATACTAATGTAACATACAAAACTTAATTCTCAGTCAAAAATGTTTAACAAATGATTCATCAACAGCCTGGTTCTCAAATTAGGATATGTTATGAAATACCTCACAATGAATATAATGCATAATCACGACATCCGGCAGATTTTACTATGCATGATAGAACGTTTCTTTTTCTGTGCATAAAAAGATAATAAACTATAATTAATAACATAAGTATGGAATAACATTTACTATAATACGCCACAAGTAAAAAAAAAAATAACGTAATACGAGTATCAACATAATGAGTTTTTCTTTTTTCAATTACCTTATTGCAAATACATTGTATAAACAATTAGATGTAATGTTTAATAATATTATAGATATTTATTTAAATAAATACCTTTATATATGACAAGCCTATTTTTGTTTTGTGTGCCAATTTTTGATCTTAAAATATGTTTAAACATGTTCATTATGATTCTCAGAAAAAAAGCTATTTCAATCATTATAATATATATATATATATATATATATATATATAATAACTAGCTGACCCCGTAAATGTTGTTTTACCACTTATTGCGAAATATAAAAATCGCGACTAAAATACAGGGGTTGATCGTAAAACGATGAAAATTTAAAGTTGTGTGTATTTTTCAATGCTAAATTATAATAAAATAAAAATAAAGAAATTGTCAAAAAATAAAAATTTGGGGTGGGTCATCCTTATCATTGAGAGGTATAAAAAATAGATGTTGGTCGATTCTCAGACCTACCCAATATGCACACAAAATTTCATAAAAATCGATAAAGCCGTTTCGGAGGAGTTTGGTAACAAACACCGTGACACGAGAATTTTATATATTAAATATAATATAGAACAGTGAAGGACGAGGCACTTCGTAAATTTAGATACTACATAATATTTAATAAAAGTCGTAATCGCATATTGATCAGTCAGTTACAAGTTTTTTATTTAAGAATTTGCTCATTCTTATATTCTTATAGTGTTGATTAATGTATTTGTTTTATCGCAGAGCAAAATTTTATTAAATTAAAATTATTATTATTAGACTACAAAAAAATGTTTCACAACTAGCGAAGACGTTACACAAAAACATAAACTAAAACTGATTATACCTCTCTTTCTAAAGCGGTTCATAAAAGAAATAAAACACAACGTACTTTATTGCTATTCATAGAATTTTCTATTGATCTTTGTATCGAAGCACCTTCAAGTTAATCACCAGTACCAGACGATTTCAGTGTATATTTTTAGTTCAGCAACTATTTATTTATTCGTAGATATTAAAAGTGACCCGAGTTCACGGTTACCAATATACCTAATATGATAATAACTATCCAAACTAAAATAACAATCACTCATAGTAATTATGCGCAATACATCGACTCTTTCTCAATTTCATGGAAAATTATTCCATGTAAGTTTACAGTAATTTTAATTTTAAAAGAAAGTTCGCACTTCGTGTGAACTTTTTTTTTTACTATGTTAACCGACTACATAACATATTCTGTTCAAATTTTCACAATTCTTTTTTCAATAAGTTATTTGTATATTTGTCGTTATTTTCCATTCTAAATTGCATAAAAAATAAGGTATAGGTTCGTATTAATTTTATGACGACTAAAGCTGCTCTTTTCTCAACTTGGCTGTTTTTTTTATATTTGTTACCTCATAACTCATTTCATTGTATTGACTGTAAAGGATATACTAACAAATTTGTTTCATAAAAATTTTATCAAAATAGGTTCAGTAATTTAGTTTTGAAATCATTTTCATTCACTGGTTTTGCCACAATTAAAGTCATTTTTTTTAATGGAACTATTAAAGTCATTCTTTTGAGGTGCAAAAAATTTCACAATTTGTACCTGCAGCTGATTTTCATCACTATACAACCCGCTATAAATTAAAGTTCCATTCCAACCATGTGTATGAGTGGCGGTATCACGCTCTAGAATTAACTTCCAGCAGCAGTATTTCCGAAATTCCATGACATCGTAAGCTTCAAGAAAAGAGCATATTTATTTTAAAAGGCTGGCAACACATCTCCTATACTTGTTGTGTTGCGGGTGCTCATGGGCGACGGTAGCTCCCAGTGTTACAAAAAAAAAAAAACATAAATCTTTGAATGTTATTCTTAACTTAAAAATTGCCAACCATATTTCATTTAGAACAAACATTTCATTTTTTTCTATAGTTAGATATGTAAACAGATACATCCGTATAATAGAAACTGTAAAAACTCTAAGAGAGTTAACTTTAACCATAAAAACTTGTTTGTATTCACAATTCATTGAAAGAGCATATTATGTATTCACTGCGCACCATCAAATAGAAACGAAACCGCTTTCCACGTATGCGGGATCAATAGGTATTAATAAATGCCACACAATACCATATTTCGTATCGGACGGCAATTTATAACTCAACGAATATCGCCGCTGAAATTTTAGGACTATTTATTTAGTTATGTGGTGCTTATTTTTTAAATTATAAAAAAAAAATCATACTCAACACCGAATACACGTCCCTAATTTACAGATATTACTTTTATATTAGTATCGATATTATGTAGTGAGAAAGACTCGAAGAGTATGTAATAGTAATATTATCGGTTATCTTTAAAGGGGAGGAACCGGATTTATATCCTGTTGGACAGAACTTCCCGCGCATTCATTTTCTGAATAATTCATGCCGCGTTATTGAAGTCGCGTGCGCAATGTGCACCCGTAATCCGTACCAGTCTAGTACTAAAGGTGGAGTTAGATCAATCTGCGTACCCTTGCTTTTACTCTAATCTTTTCAATTTTTGTTAACTGTTTAAGCGTTCTTTTGTTGCTCGACTGCATTCGCGAACAATTTTGCACTTTGTTCTTTTAGTCCGACTTCACCTTGATATGTCACAATATGATTATCCGATTTTATAATTTTACGATTGTAAATATGTTTCTCACTATTTATCATTCATTGATTGATTACATAAATACTAGATGTTACACAGTTCGTCTTCGTGATTTCCAATAATGGCATCCTTTGTTCAAACTAGGGCGCCAAGTACAGTTTTCTTTAGTGTATATTGCCTTTCCCTTAGTCACCTCTGACGAGATGTAATAATTAGTGGCATATTGTGTTCTTACTCCCGATCATCGCACAGTACTAAAAGCAACTGTTCAGAAATATGTGTAGGAGATTATATAAAAAAAAATCTAAATCGTTATCGGAAGATGCATAAAACCCTAAATTATAAAATATATTAGGACAGAAATTTCGAATCAATTATACTTGTATATTTATGACTGTCTGTTGTTATTTTAAATACGTACTTCAGTATTTTATAACACGTATCAACATTTCTTCAAAGGCGGTCCTGCAATTTCAAAAATAAAAATCTGCATACAAAACAAACGTACCACTTTACATAATAACTAAGACCTGAATTTTATGTTGGAAAAAAAAAATTGTATCCATTTAATACTCATTTGAATGTTTAACAATCAGCTGTCATGTCAGTCAGCAGCGTAAGTACCTTTGTTGCCAAAATGATGGACACGTGAATCGTATCGTCACACTGCTCTGTCGCTCGAGCCGATTTCGATATCATTTTGTGACCGGATTTGGGACATAATGTTAATTTTTATTTTACAAACAAGTATAATTTTACTGTGATCACACACGCCAATGAATGGTGAAATTGTTGTGTTCATTGAAAATATTTTAACTTAGAACGCATAATCGTGCATCTACTAAATAATACAAAAGATTTATCAAAATTGATTCAAAATTAGCTAAGATATGTTTTGTGTATGAAGGGGTGTAAAAATAATACTCCTTGTTACATAATTGTATCACAATTGTAGTCGTGACACGATTATTAATTGGTATTGGTCTGTCTTTTTTTTGTATTAGAATCAGAAATTATTATTATTATTATTTGTATGCTATTCGATACTAATTATTGCTATTAAATACAATAAATACAGTACAATTCTGTTCTAAAGTTATGCCAATATTTATTTAACGGTATTACAGGTATATAGAATAACTGGGACCAATAGCCCCATTGCTAGGTCTACTCAGATCAACCTCCGCGCGGTAAACCGTCGTGACAAATTCGTCATAATGGAGCAACATAATAAAAATATTTAGATATCAGTGTTATAAATACAACGTTTATACCTACTTCCTGTTTATATTTTTAATAGGAAAAACTTTATTAAATATTTATATTATTTTTATTATTTACTGTCTACCTAAGATTACATCGTAACCAGAATACATGGATTGACCATGGTAAAAAGTTGCCTAAATCTTTTATCCCATTCGTCGTTTATAATATTAGTAATAGTCATTTAAATTAGTTTGTTTATAATTCGTCACTTTGCAATTTATTAATCGCAAAACTATTAAAAATATCAAAAAAAATCTCAACTCGAATGACATGAATGGTCAGCTCTTTGGATGGTATTACATTACATTTCTATTAAATAGGCTATACTCTTATTCTGATTCGCCACCTTGTGGTATAAAAAGAATGATTAATTTTTTAGAGCTTTTATTTTAGTTCTAAGCCCCAGTTATTATAGTTGACACAAACGACCTTTGTAACACCCATGCGCACTTCTGACATACACATGTAAAGACATTTAACGACCCACGTCCCAGAGCCCACGTGGTTATATCACACTTTCGTTTAACAATGTCATAATTACTATTCTGTATCGGTAAGGATCTTAAAATGTTTATATGTTCGTTTCAGTGTTGCTCAGCGAAGCGATACTACCGGACGACACGTTGGAAGACAAAACACTGAAGATCACCGACTTCGGATTGGCTCGTGAAGTGTACAAAACGACGCGGATGTCCGCCGCGGGAACCTACGCATGGATGCCGCCAGAGGTAAAGTATATTTCGATATAACCTAATGAAATTTCTTAAAATTGTCACAGAAACTCTTTTGAAATTAATGACCTATCGAAACATTCACTTAATGAATTTTTTATTAGTTTCATACTATTGGACTTCAGCGGACTTACAATCGAGTCAATTATTCGTTTGTTTACATTTTTATTAACTTCTATTAAAAGATACACTATATTCGTCTTCAGCTGCCTTCAAAAAGGAGGTTTTCAGTTTGGTAGTATTGTTGTATTTATGCCACGCAATACTTACATCTAATTTTGCACTGATTATGAAGTTTTTTTTTTGCAGTCGTTAAGATTTATTGGATCCAATAATCTAATATTATTATTTTTATAATTTAAGTGATTTTTTTCTACCAATATATATATATATATATATATATATATATATATATATATATATATATATTGGTATATATATAGAAATTTAGTTAGTATAAGTGTAATCCTAAAAATATGTACTTTAAAGACACGCGTCCTGTTTACGACAACTAAATCTCATTTAGCAAACATTTTTATCTCAGACGATAAGTGTAATTCAATAAATGTAATTTAAATGTTTGGCTTAATTAACTAAAAATTATTATTTTTAATTATTTACATTAATATAAATAATTTCTATTTTTTTTAATCAATGTGATTATGATCTGATAATCATCATTACAGGATCTATTTCCAAGTGTAAAAAAGAAATATCTAAATAGACTTGTACACTCGCCTAGCAAAGTGAGCATGTCAATCGATTCGAATATAAGTCAATTACAATTTACCTTGGTGTCGCAGCGCTGTAGGAGGAAAGTGCAATATACATACAAAACATTTGCTTTACATTGCATCATGTGTTCGTAATATTTAATATCGCAACTAATAAGATGTTTAAAATGGAAATAAACTCTACCACTTTTTAAAATTATTGATAGTAAGATTTAAAAGCAGGGATATAACAATGAAATTACAGGGTACAGAGGCATAACACCTTAGTCCTCAGAAATGGCAATTCAGGAAGGTATCATAAGTATACTCTGTTATGTTCATGGTACGGTCATGTCTATAAGCAACTGTTACTACTTTTTATCAGATTGGTCGTCAGCTAGTTTGTCATTCTAAGTTTCTTTAAAAAAGATAACAAATTTCCACTCTTTAGATACGTAAAATGCTAATCGAGATTCTATAAATTATGTAAGAACTCACTTAAATTTAAAACCACTAAAACACCCTAAATTCTTCTCGTTTAACTATAGTCCTTAAAAATCACTTTTCATCTCTACCCTCCCTCTTACGCAAATGGCATACGAATCTATTAATAGACATGATATTGCCGTCGAAAGCATAGAATAAAATGAGACGAGCTGTGACCTATATTAAGTAAATATCTATATGTAGATATGTATACATAGGTGTTTTATTTGTAATACCTTAATTACTTAGTAAGTCGCAAAAATACAGAAGATCCTTAAAATTAATAATGCATCTCTAAAATAAACATGATCTGAATTATATGAAGAGAAAATCGTTGCTAGAATTTACTACCAGCCATATTAAAGCAATCATAAGAGGCATGAGCATGGGCAAATCTCCTCTCGGTCACAATGGACTCAGTATTGAACATTGAACTCAGTATTGAAAACATAACTCAGTATTCAATATTGAACAAAAGCCGGCGGCTCACCTGCAATGCCGTTGGTGTTCTGGGTGATCATGGGCGGCGGTAGTCACTTACCATCAGGTGAGCCACATGCACGTTTGCCCCGTGTTGTAAAAAAAAAATTTAAAAATGCAGGGAGTCCTTTGCCGAGAGTCTTGTCTATGTTCTTTTCTCTGTGCATCAGTCACTCATATAGCTTCTATACTTAGATTATATAGATAGAGTGTCTCCATACAAATGCTTCGAGAAAAGCGGGTCAACTTTTTCATACAATTTTACATGATAAATAGTTATGAGTAATTCCTTTATAACTTCTATATTTATTTTGTCTTATATATTTAATGCGCAAAAATTCATTTTATTTATTAAATAATTATATATAGATACGTCAAAATACTTTATGTGTATAAGTGTATGTGTGTGTTTATATGTTTAAGTATATAGAACAGAAATAAAAAAACGAGCTAATTTGACTATTAGCTGACAAAAAGTTCATCCATTTTTGAGGCTCGATACTCTATATAATCTAAGCTTCTACAGTGATTTTAACATTTCAAAAGGAGAAATTTTATCCTCCGTAGATAATAATCTAGATCCAAGGCGTCCCATACGTGCATTGAATTCAATATTTATATTTAATTTCAGGTGATAAAAAACTCGACTTTCTCGCACGCGTCAGACGTTTGGTCGTACGGTGTCCTGCTGTGGGAATTGCTGACTGGCGAAACACCATACAAAGGCATCGATGCGCTGGCCGTCGCGTACGGCGTGGCCATCAACAAACTTACGCTACCTATACCCAGTACTTGTCCGGAGCCCTGGAAAGTGCTCATGGAAGGTGAGTTTTATTCTTTCTTAAACTAATATTGTATAGAGAAAATATTTATTTTGTCTCGATCTTTCTTTGTCTCTTAATCATCTCAAAAATCCACATGTTCTCTTATGTAAGTATATCTAAAACCAAATATATACTAATATTATAAAAAGAAAAGATTTGATTGTTTGTAACATAAACTCAAAACTATAGAAAGTTACATTATCATTGACTAATATAGGCTATCTATTATTTTCAAAAAGTCTATCTACCTGTATGAAATCAGGCCAGATTGCTAGTCATAGTGTAATTGTTATATTAAATTGTAGCTATCACAATGAAGAATATTTATATATATTATATTAAAATTGTATTATAGCAAACTGAAAATCGAAGGTCTGATATGACAATTAACAATAGCTATTTTATTGCGCACAATAATTAAAACTAGGTTGTCTTTGTTTGTACATAGTGTGCTATTAAAGACCATATTGTAATAGTATGTAATAGTAATGTATTGCTTTGTATAGATACATCTGATTTATTTCTACTATCAAGTCAGCTGCTTGAATATCTGTGTGTCAATTAAAAGGGTGGCATGTAGCACTAACATTATTGACAAAATTTATAACAAAGGTGTAACTCTTAACTCTTAGGAATGGCAATATATATATATATAGTAAGCACCATAGTGGTCACAACATATTTCGTGATATGATCCGGTTTATGTCTAAATAACACTATGGATAGTGTTTTTGCTATTTAAAATTATATAAAAAAATACATACTATTGAATATGATATCCAAGGTGCTGATCTATATATTATAATAAAATAAAAAATCCATCAATACTACATAATTGTGTACTGAACTATGTTGTTTAAATTGAGATTTCAAGAAGTATGTTATTGGTAGATCGCACAGGGTTTCATCAGTAAACAGTAGATCTTGGGTCTAGTCAAGTCAGCCACGCCTGATATATAGGATATGGCTACTACTTTCTATCAGGTGGGCTGTCATCTTAATTGCCAATTCCAGTCACATAAAAAAAAAAATTTACCTCTTCAGCATGTTGGCACTCGAACCCCCGCGAGCGACCACCATTCCCCGAGATCCTGGAACAACTGGAGCACATCAGGCAGTCAGAGTTTACGAGAGCACCCCACGAGTCCTTCCACACCATGCAAGATGGCTGGCGGATCGAGATAGAGGAGGTATTAAGGGATCTCAGGCGGAAAGAGAAGGTATATAATTTTCATACCATATTTTAAGTTTGATTAATAAAATATGAAATTTTCTATTAAGTTGTGTAATCTACAGGTATTTCTCATATTACTAGAAGGAGACTTTGTATAGAAGTTGTCTACTAGGTACCTCAATTCCACTCGTGTTAAAGCAGTGAAGCAGTTGTGCTTGTATCTTTAACTTTGAAGGTTGGCTACGGCAATTAAATTACAGGGTACCTACATCTTAGTCCTTAGGAATGGTATGAGAGAGGTAACATGGGGAAACCATGGGTGTCACCTTGTCCATGATGCTGTGTATCTCTGTAAATGACGATTATCACTTGCCATCAAGTGGGTTTGCAGTTTGTTCGAAATTCCAAGTTGCATACATATGTCCATATATATGTCTATTATAGGTATTTGACTGTTATTATTATAATATTATTAACTTGCAAAATAATAAATTGTTAAGTAAAAAATCAAACATTAAACAAAGCAATGATAAAGAAAGCATGTGCTGTTGCTTTGTGACGCTACTCATTGTTCATTTAAAATATAAATATTGGTCAGACAATAATTTAAACTAATGATTTAATTATAAAGTAATGAAGTTATTTTTTACAAAGTCAATTATGTATTATGTATGTATTATAAAGGTTATTACGGAAAAAGTCCTTATAATAAGTCCTAAGTCCTTACAATAATCAAAGCTATAATAAATATAAAGTATTAAGCTATAATAGTGTACACTTTCTAAATATGTATTATGATTTTAATTATTTTGAAATATTTGTTGCTGTAAACACAATTCAACTGTAGAATAAATCATATACCAAAAGGAATGGACAAAAACCTATTATTTTAAATGGAATTAAAACATAACAATTTCTTACTTGCACAGTAACCTACAAATACATAGACTAGAAAACATGAAAATAATATCGAGTTAATTAATTGTAATGTATTATTATATGACGAATGTACAAAGTTATAAATCAATGCTTGTCTCGAATATTCGCACATCGTCGTCTCTCACCCAAATTTTTAGTTCATCATTAAGATATATAATAGTGGAATAAGAGTTCACAGTCCGATACATATATATTATATATACTATATGTTAGCCGTGGACACTTTCATACGCTGTTACTAATCTATGTAATCTTTAACTTACTTTTATACTAATGAGGAAGTTTATTCTTCTTTGTAATGCTGACAAATAGGAATGCAAAACAATAGAGGAGGTTAGTGATGAAATTAATGTTTAGTTTTGTTTCTCCTTATTTACTTATATATGCTGAATATTAATTTTTTCCCATGTCAGAGTCTCGCTTAACATTTTTCATTTATTTTTTTGCAAACTGAATACATTATTGTTGAAAAACCCATACATATCATTTACATATTGCCAATTAATACAAAGACATAATTTAATACAAAGAAATATATAGGTAGTATTTTAATGGATGATAATGGAATGGTAACCCCGCCTGCACTAAATATTATACACTAACGGGGCATCAGTGAGGGATGAAAAAGCAGGCATCAATTATTCAGCCCATCGTGATGAATACACCTGGAATTCAACACGATAGTTTTCAGGGGGCACCGCAGTGAGGTTGAAATGACAAGGTATATTGCTAGCAATGGGTGTGGTAAGCCGCATTACTAACAGGCCCCTCCCCACCCCCCATATATAGGTAATTAATTTTTCTATTCAGTGGTCTGTCTCCCAAACACTTATGTTGTTATAAAAATTTCAAAGGAAATTTTATAATTTTATGCATAAAATAAAATCGTAAACAAAAAATTAAAATATATCCTATGTAAAAACTATGTGGTTTTGCGTAAAATATTGTAAAAGTAAAAAATCATTGGCATCTATTATTATTATGCACAATTATTTGTGTTTATTCATACTCAATTATAACTTATGTTGCATGAATTTAAATAGACAATGAAATAATTATTAGTTTAAAGAAAATTTTACTTTCATGTTGTTTTATTTTTATTTTATTTTATTCACTACTGACATGAAAAGCCATCATTAAATTATTATTCGCTAAAAATACAATTGAGTAATAGAAATCGTTACAGATATTTTACTTAGTCGACAATCAGTGTGTAATTAATAAATAGAAAAAATATTTATTATAGTATAGCGCATTTAAATTATCAATATTCTTGATGTATTGATAAAGAAAAATAATTGATAGTGCATTATTACTCTTTAAAGAAATATCATTTTGTTTTTTATTCAGTACGAATAGCGGATTAATTATAATGAATAACAAAAAGAATTTATATACAGCTGTTTGTATAAAAACTGTAAGCGATAATATAATTAATACAGTAAAAAATTTAAATAATATTTAAATAAATTGATTACTTTCTGATTGGTCAAACATTATATTAATTGTAGCTTGTTTTAGTGTTTTTCAACATACTTAAAAAAGAAGGCGACTCTCAATTTGTTTTTTTTATTTATTTATGTTTGTTACCTTATAACTCTGTCAGTTCTAAACCGATTTACAATATTCTTTTTTTATTTGAAAGGATATACTTATAGGTTGGTCTCATAGATATTAGAATCGGTTCAGTAGTTTTTAAGTCAAAATAACTGCTTTTACCACAATTAAAGTTTTTTTTTTTTTTTTTTTTTGTGAGACTCAATTTTTAATTATGTTATTAAGAGGAATAAACAATATGACAATTCTTATACTAATTATTTTAAGTGTGTACCACAAACTTAACAAGTTTTATGTCAACTTACAAATTTTACTTAGCAAGTGCATCCTGCTCACATTAAATATAAATTATAATGATTAATATAATAATTCTTCCCCTACCACAGTTATTAATTTTAATTATTGTATTAACCTTAGATTGAATCCTTGAAAATTACCTCTTGATCCCAAACGTAAGAAGCTTAAACCGCTTACTTTGTAGTATACTTATCAGCATCTGTTAAAAAAAAATATTATAGTTGTATAATAGTACATATATACATATATATATATACTGAATTTTAAGCAATTGAAAATTATATACATACAGTCGCGAGATTATGACTTGATATCTAAGCATAATGGTAAATGTTGCTAATTACTAACTATGATATATAGAATACAGATATATTTGAGTTATTAACAAAAGCTGATATCTAACTACATAATATTATTTTTTAAAAGCTTTTATTTACTAAAAAATATTCAACAATTAGATATTTATAAACATATCACTTCTTTTTCAGGAACTGCGTTGGCGTGAAGAGGAACTAACAAAGGCCCAGTTACAACAAAGGTTAATGGAACAGAACTTAGCTCAGAAAGAAAGGGAATTACAGATGAGGGAGTTTGACCTAGTTGCCAGAGAGTTGCATATCCTGATCTTCGCCAGCAACATGTCGCATCCGCCGCCACAGCCTAATAAAAGGAAGGGTGAGCTGCACTGCAAATTGTTAACTATTCTTGAAAGAGTTACTTTAATCATCCTTTATAGTTCCAATCATTTATTATAAACTGGTGAACAAAGGTTTTCATGTAGATAAACGCAAGGAACTATCCTCAATAACCTGTTTCCTCTGAATCCCTGCAACTCATTTGAGACCCACCTATCGGTTCAGCAAGGTTCACCATCTGAAATAACATTAAAAGAGGAAATATTAATATATTATTTAATTTTTTTGCTTATAATTTTGTAACTTCTAATAATTTATTTATTACATCAACTGGGTGAACCTTACAGTCTTCTAATACGTTCACCCAGGAAAGCATGAATACAATTTTTTTTTATAGAACTTAGAATGGCAACCAAGCTGACGGCCCACGTGATGGAAAATGGTAACCATCGCCTATAGACATGAGTAGTATCATGCACATAACAGAGTATACTGTTTCGCCCATGATACCTCCCATGCGTTGCCATTCCTGAGGACTCAGGCGTTATTCCTCTGTACCCAGTAAATTCACGCCATATCCCACTCTTCAAACTGAAACACAGCCATGCAAACACAACAGCTTCACGGTTGAAACACGAATGAGACAGAGGTACCCAAGCAATCGATTTTTGTACAAAGTCGATTGCTTGGGTCTGGTAAACAATAACATATAAAAAGGAATATTACACAAAAATTATATAAAAAGATTTAACTCAAACAAAAAACGTCTGAACACACATACTCTGTGGTCACTCGACGAAACTCCAGCAAGTTAGAGGCAAATACATCCAATTGCGGATACTGGTTCAAAATATCATTGAGTAGTTTCAATGCAAGAGCCTGCTTAGCGAACTCTGTTCTTCGTAATGGAACATCGAATAAGTGCCGTCTTTCATCTGTAGAAACCTATATCAACAAGTATTATTATTATTGAAAATGGGGCTTTTTGAGGCAGAAATACCTATAACACTGCAATCCCTGTGATCTATTGTGCTTACCCTTTTTAAAGTTTGTTGCTACTTCCTGTCAGTCATAGGAATTTAAAGATGTTTTTAATGGCGACGTTTTTAACCTCTTCAAGATATAAAGTATATTTTTTAAAGAAGATATACATTTGTGCATGAACGGGCTCTAGCCACAAATTTTATGCTGTGGCGTTTCTTTCTCATCACAGAAGCTGAAAATGGATTTTGGGCATAAGCCTAGTTGGGCCATGCACTTATTTAGTTTACAGAATCCAGTAGAAACCCTTGTTAATACACAAATGTTATATAATATTTATTCAAGATATAATATATAGTTCGAGTAGTTTTCTGAAATCCATGCTTTTGAGGAGTACAAGCCGTCTATTAGTTAGTCGAGCTATGCCACAATAAAGCACTGGTTTTATTTAGGCATTCTTTACTCCTTTCTTTGATAATTGGACAATTGGTGAAGTAGGATGAGTAATTATTGGATATCCCTTAATGGTTATAGTAGATTTATTGTTTGACTTTTTTTTAATATGATGATAATTGTTTGGTAGGTAAGTTCAGCAAAATGAAGCTGGTGAAGAAGGACACGATATCGTCCCCGCTGGACTTCAGGCACACACTGACGGTGCGGCCGTCGGACGACGAGTCGAGCGTTAAGCAGCTGGTTGCGGTCGCAAAAGACACGCCACCCGGCTCGCCCGCCATTATGAGGGCCATTGCCCGTAAGTTGCATGCAGTTTGTGTTCATTACATGTCGCAAATAATTGAAATTTAAATAATTGAAAGTCCTCCTAGACAAGTGGCAAACGAGTCTATTGATAAAATCGTTCTGGTTAACGCTCGTATGAAAAAGAGCAAGACACCGGATGTGGCCATCTCATTTTATGCAATCGATAGCGATAATGATTCTGTTTATAGATTCGACATTTTATTAATTTTACTGATATTATAAATGTAACATTTATAAAGATGTTTATTTAGTCATCACTGTTAAAGAGCTGAACAGATTTTAATTAAATTCATTACGAGATTAACGTTTAAAAAGCATTAGTTTTACCGTACGCTTGAAAAGTCGCGGATTATGACTAGTAAAGTAACTAATGAAGGAAATATCCACATTACCTCTTATCGTGTATTTTAGTATTCTCATTAGTTTTTAGTGTGAGCTTGGCAACATCTACACTATCTTTTATTTAAAAAAATCCACTGATCTGAACAACCGAAAATATAACCACGTAATTTTGTAATTGTTTGTGATGATTTTAAATAATAATAATAATACAATGTAATTACTCGTGTCTCTTTTATGTTATTTAGCGATAAAGACTTTCTTTGTTGCCTGTTACTCCTTGTAATCCTGTTTTATTGTCTAGATATTTTATTTAACTATACTTTTGTTTGAAAAGCACCATAATTAATTTTCAATAATTAATTCAGTACCAGCGGATGGCGTGAAGGGCAAAACGTGGGGTCCGTCGTCGGTGCACCAGCGGTCGCGCGGACACCTGCCGCTGCCGGCGCTGCGGCCGCGGCCCGCGCCCCGCAGCGCGTGCTCGGCGCCCGACCTGCCGCCCGCGCACCGCCACCCGCTCCCAGGTAACCCCGCCCCCGCCCCCGCACCCGCACCCGCACCCGCCCCGCACCCGCCGCCGCGACCGCACACGCCGCGCGCGCGCAAGTCCAAGTCGCAGGTCCGTCACGCGGACACTGCAGACTTGCCGCGCAAGCGCAGCGGCAGCCACGACGACCTACTCTACGAAAACGACGAGCCGCGCAGGAATAGATTTCTCCTCTGTCCGATGTTCTCCTCCGCGGCCGATATCCCGCACCATTATGACGCGGTATTCGATTTAGACACGATCGATAAGAACCGAAGGAAGGGCAGCCACGGCGAGGTGAAGCGCAACCTCCTCAAAACTATTCGCTCGAACAGTTTAGTCGGTCTATTCACGATCAATGCGCACTCTGAGACGACGCAGCTACTTAGCGACCAGTAGTTTGGGATAAAGTTAATGTTTCTGTACAGACCTGATGAAAATTTATAATTGTAAAATGAAATGCATTGCATGAAATAGTACCGCGGTTACTGTAGATTGTCGTTACGTCTTTTACTAAGTACAAAATTTTGTTTTATATCCAATCACTCGATACAAAATGGCACTGATATGAAATTAGAATCTTACTATTTACAATAATAGGATGTTATTAATACTCCGTAAACTTTATAATTAATCTTATGATTAGTGCTAATTACATGTTTTCCCTGGCGTGACGGCAATGTTTACATTATAAATAAAATATTTTAATATTGCCAGTTTATTTCCTGAAAATGTACAAATTTCATCTACCATAATTATACGCGTCCGCTGTATTTACAAAGTTAAATCAGAGGAACATGTACAAAAGTGTTGCCATATTGAAGACATATCATTTTTACTAACATTCCTTTTGTAACATGTAATTGACACTTTTGTTGCATATTTCCATTATTTTAATCTCAAGGAAACATCTTTATGTCCCAAACTTTGACTGACGACAGTGTTTACTCCGTATTTTATAAATAAAATAATAGGAATAATATTTTTAGATACAGCGAAAATTTGAAAAATAAATATAATCTACTCAGTAATTAATCTGCTTTGTTATCATAATTGTATAACAAACAGGTTGTTATAAATGGTTTTAAGAAACATTCTACTTTAAATATCTACATTTACGCTTCATAAATTAACTATCATCTTTATATTTTGTCGTGTAGGATGTGAAAGTGTAACACAGACAGTTAATGAGCGATATAAAAAATCCATTGATAAAAATTAAAACGGAGTAAACTACACTCACTCTTTGTAAATAATTGTTAGATACACAAAGTTCCAAGGATTCGATAGTAAGTGTTAGCATAGTGTTGTAGGACATAAATGATCTAAAAAAAAATATAAAATAAAAAAGACTTATTTTTGTTAAGTTTATTCCTTACTATTTTTCTTTAGATTCTGTAACCAGTGTTCATGCAAACCGTAAATCTCAAGTATTACCATATGTATACTGGAGTATAGTAATTAGAAAATCTTTATCGGTCATTTATATTGGAAGAAATTTTACCGAATGAATCAATGTATATGATATTGAAGTTAATGTTTTTTATTAAAAAAAAAAATATGGTAATATTTGTGCCTTGATTAAAATTAAAATTCCGTAGACAAACGGCCGCTCCTACATACGGCATCACAAGAGGCGAATCGAGAGCCACTGACTTACGACATATTAGGCGCTTTTCTATTTTATCGTAGTATGAAATGATAGAATTTAGTCGATGCAATTTTAAAACCTTAGTTAAAACTTGAATTAACCGATTACGACATTCCCGTGATATTTATAATATTGAAAACCTTCGTAGTAAATAAAACTTATATGCGTAGGCCGTAACACTTGAATCCTCAAGAATGGCAACTCATAAGAGACGCCATCGATGTCTTTAGCCAACAGTTAACACTTCACCTGGCGAGAAAAAAAAATTAATACAGTTGATTGTTAGCATTTAGCGGAATTTTGAATACATATTTATTACAATATTTCAAAATATTGTTATGTAATTTCAAAAGAAATATTTTGTAATTACGCACACAATTTTAGTACGACAATACAACAGGACTCGGTAGATTTTTAATTAAGATGTTATACAAATTCATCTTATCTATTATTAAACATTTGCAATACTATAGTCAAAATATAACAGAAAACTCAGAACTAGTATAAAGGACAATATGAACGTCACGGCTCTCGTTTTGCTAGAACATTCCAGTAAATAAATTCTGATTTTGCTACTATGTAGCTAATTTGGTAAAACATACTTTTATTGAAGTCAATCATTGAACATTTTCTGTTATTCTGTAAAGATCGCTGTGGATCCAATAAAATAATCTATTGCAAAATAAGATTGCTTTTTAAAGTTCAAAGTATAGTACCCAATACAGCTAAAGTACAATTACTGACTCTAATAAAAGTCAAATTACATACATTTGCTATTTTATATTTAAGGTAAGGAGGCATTTATCTGATTTCTACATTATATTAGGTATAGTTTTAGCAATTGTTTTATTTAGTCATAATAGAAATATTAGTGCGACTTGTTACAATAAAGACTTTAACGTAATTCGTTTCGACTGAAGAAAAATTAGGATCTTGCCAAAATGTTTTATATTGTGAGTGTGTAATGCTCACATCGGTTCGAAAATTGACAAAACAAAAAAGATATTTAACCATTTTATGTATGAATGAACAATCCTAATTTATGAATTTGTAATAAATTATTGTAATATAATTTAGTTTACTTTTTTAATGCTGCAATAAAGGAACGTCCCAGGACAACCTGCTGTATCCTTGTGAGTATATATATTTTTTGTAATATAATTTGAACTGCGACACGGTATAATTATTCATTTACATTATATCGCACATAGCATGCTTATTATAAATTCGATAAAGTTTTAGTATATTTTTATATAGATATTTTAAATCCGTAATTATGTATTAATTATCAATGAAAAATATCTGTATTAAATTTCAAATCCAGTGGACTTGAAAATAGTATGCATATTTATTTTTTATAAACTTAACTTTTAATAATTATGTTTGGCATTTAATTTGGAAAAATATTTCTGAATTATTTAAAAATTTTCAAGTGTTGTTGATCGTAAACAGTAGCTTGTCCATTCGTAATGCTACGTTTATGTGTGAGTGTTGACTCCAAAAATATTGAATATTTTCGAACAAAAGTTACATTATATATATTTTGTATTTATTTAACCCGATCGACAATATACTTGAAGGCCATAAAATTTTCGTTGTAGTAGACGCACGTTTAAAGTTATTCGAGTCACAAAATTTTCCCTTTCGTTTTCCGATGTGTTCGTTTTATCAGACATAAGTAATATTAAGGAGCATTTACATTTTAAGTTTAGTGTATCAATGTCATTGTAAAAGTGGATTTGATTATATGATAATTAAGTTTTATACATTTTAAGTTGTGTGATACTCATGAAATGTATGTGCGTGTTACGTAGTGTATCTTATTTGCTGTAATTTTAGTATCGAATTGAACACGATTTTTTTTTTATTGTAAATTGTAAGCATTTGTTTGCTTTCAGCCAGGTGTTTACTAGTTGAATAGAAACGCTATGCATGCTTAGCAGTTCATAGTATATGCTATATACAATAAAATGTAAGACTTATAATTATTTATGTATTTGTTGTACTTACTTATTCGTTAGTTTGTATGATCTTCGCTTCGATTTCACCATGTCATATGGCACGCTTTCAAATGTTTACAATAAAGTTCTCCCTAATATCAAATGTACACGTGGAAGTCTATTTGATGTGATATAATTAATGCTATTTCCTATTACAGTGACCCATTTACATTGTTTTTATTATACCACTTTCGTCAGAATTTAGCCCCGCTTTTAATTTCTACGTATAACCCAATAAAATAACCAGCATATTAATTATCTCCTTCTCAAATATCATATAGGCTTCCAATATTTTTAAAGTAACAGAACATGTTGTACAACATGTTATCCCGCTGTAACATTCGGCAGTAACAATGTTCCTGGCATTGGTGGTGGACTAGTATTACGAACGATAAACGAAAGGCTCAGATGTGAAAGTAATGTGACCCCAGCAGAGACTTCACTAAACATACGCTCTGCTTTTTAAATTGTATAAAAAAAGACAAAATTTTAATAGAAACTCCTTGGTGATCTGGTTCTTTATAGCAATAAACTTGATCCTTTTTATATATCAAATAAACCTTTTCCATAAAAGCTGGTGTATTTTTTTAACATGGGTTTACTAATCTATTAGTTACTAACAATCCCTTTAACATCAGGACGAAAAATACGAGCCATAGAGTGATCAAATAACGATAATTAAACGACAGAAACAACAGAAGGACGCCTCGGTGAAGGGTGGACGGAAATGTGAAAGGAGAAATAAGAACGCTTCTGCTTTATCTCACTCTGGCTATCTCTAATTGGGAAAGGTTGAAAAAAAAAACGAAAGCCATTAAAATTGTAACACGTTTATATTAACAAATATAAATTATAAGGATAAAAGTGCCATCTCAAGTAATTATTTGCACATGTAAGTATATAGATTCTTGATTTATACATTTCTTTGTTTTTGCTTTTTCATATTTATTTAGAATGAACTGTTTGGCATGTGTAGTTCTAGATTCATTTAATATAAACATTGCATGTATTATTAGCTCATAAAATAAACTAGAGGAAAATTTTTCTATTGTATATAATATTCCTCTATTTTATTAAGCACTTTGTTTTAAATATTCATACACTGTTTTTGTTAATATGTTTAATTAAATATATATATATATATATTGTTATTTTATCTACAGTGTATAATAATATCACATGAATTCATGATGCATACAATAAATAATATCAACTCGGTCGATGTTCACTAGTTTTAAATTATGTTTTGATGTGAATTGGATATAAAATGTACTACGCCACGTGAGTTTTGAAATTCCGTATTCAGTGTTTCAAAAATTAATATTTATTTAATATACTGATATTACTGCAGTAGAATACTATACGAAGTTAATTGGTACATATATATATGCCAAACTGAAATTTCAGTGAAGTATTAAGAAAACTGAACAGCATTCCTTAAAGAAAATAGTTGAAAAATGAACATTGTTTTTGTATCTTTATAAATCTCGAGATATGATAATTCATTACATGATCTACTAAAGTTAGCTCAAAAATTGTTTTCCCACTAGCTGTATCATACGGCTTCATCCGCGTAAATCCTTTCTATTATTTATACATGATATATTCAAATGTAAAAGTGTGCTTATTTTTAATCTTATAACGCTTTAATGGCTTAACCAATCGCTATGAAATTTTGTATATACGTACTATATAGGATAGGGAAGGATATAGGTTACTTTTTATCCCTGTCACGCGAACAAAGTCGCGGGTAAAAGCTAGTCAGTGTATAAAGTATCCTATGTGCTAAATTAGGATATAAGCTACTCGTGTACTAAATGTCATTGAAATCCATTCAGTAGTATTTACGTGTTAGAGTAATAAAATCCATCCAACTTTACAAACTTTCGCCTTTATATTATTTATAGAATTCTATATAGAAGCTTAAATCAATAATTACCCTTGTATAAATCACACACTGCGATCTATTGAGACTAAATGACAGAGTGTAAAGCTCCAAACTAATTCATTCCTATGAATACATTTAATATATTTTTGAAAAGTGCTTATTCGAATTCATAGAGTACAAAAGGTGAGGCAGTGTTTTAAACTTCTACGCTGTCAAAGCCGTCAGTTGTTTATTTTAATTATTACTGTCACTAATTTTCGGATTGGTATACTCTTCCAATTGACTGAATATTTTTATGTAAAAAAAAATTATTACAATTGGACAAATTGACCATTTCACATCAAATATCACAATGTTGCCGTATTATTTCACATGAGCACGCACACATGTACACTAACGCATCTATTTTTCCATTCACATAGGTTGTTTTCTTCCTTACACAGACTTCAGTCCTGAGGAATGGGGACCCGAGTTCCCTTTGAGCACGTCGTCGCGATATTCTGTACCAATGCCAACACTATACAGCACTGAAGGTAATATTTTTTTATATTAGTCTATTAACTGGTTAGTTGATAACAATTATTTTATTTTTACACCAAAATTGGAATATTAACTACTATTAATAGAGGTTCTACGACTTTTCTCCTAACTCGTTCATCTCTAACCGTTATTTAGTCTACACACATGTTGCGACACGTGCTTCATTTCTAAAGGAGCTATTATTGTTAAACGATCGCTGCTCGAAGCATAATCTTGAAGGTTTGAATCCCAAACTACCAATCTTTATGCAAACAATATTTTCATAATCTTAAATCTCCAGTCAGATTTATTCCGAATAGAACCTTTTTATTTATTTATTTAACCAACTGCCTACTATAATAAAATGCAACAATATTTCTATATAATATTTAATAATTAATACATTGAAAACGTCTGCTTTAGAAATTTGCGATTAAAAGGAATTATTGATTTCATTTCAGGTTACAAGTACAAGAAACCTAGCATAATAGAGTTGGTTTTATATAATATGGCAGCGCTGCTGGGCGGCGTCGCGGCCGGTTACGATGTGAGGGTTTCCAACATTAGCCCGTTGCATCCAACGCTGCAGCCGCACAGGTAAGATAGTCTGCTTACATTAAACTTAATGAAAAAGTGATAAATTTTTGTTGAAATTATCATGGAATTATTGAAGTCGACGGTTATCACTTTCCATCAGGTGAACCGTCAACTTGTTCTGCCATTTTAAGTGTCATAAAAAAAAAACTCTTGTGCTTGTTAATCGAATCAAAACATTTCATAGATTTTTTATTTGTGCTATTCTATTGGATATCAGCAAACTGTCCTATAATCATGTCAATTATATGTTTGTTTACATTTTCATTAAGTCTTAATGAATCAGACTATACCTAGTAATGAAGGTAGAAACCAGTAAAATTCCTAAGGAAAAAGTCTTTAGCAGCTTTACTAGGCTATATGTAAAAGCTACAGAAAAACCATAACTGAACTGAGATTATAAAATTACTGCATTTTTTTTTATGATTAAGTGTTCTTCATGACTATTTGGATTGTGAATGAGACATGCCATTAACATTTATTAATATATCGGTATATTTATTAATGGACACATTCTATAATATATCATCTACAAATATTATTCTATTAATGTTCTTCATTAATTATCATCTTAACAATTTATAAGGAGAAGGAAGGAAGGTTTAGTCTACTATTGGGTACTACGCTATCATTCGGTCTAATTCCACCTCTACCACTGGGGTTGCTGTACTTTGTCACACTAGCCCCCTTATACGTCAGAACAATAAAAACGATTTGCATTCTTGTCAATTATATATACAGAGATGTACAGAAAATCTCAAAAACATATACTTGTATAAAATTGAATGTATATAAAAAATATATAAAAAGCCAAGCGAGGTTGCTAGCAATACTGAAGATGTAACAGTATTAATTAATTACGCTTTTACAATAATTAACACAGAGGCTGGTCTCGATCGATATGGTCAGTAGAAACAGTTCGAGATTAATCGAAACAGGACTGGATTGCAATATGAATACACACATTGTTTCTTAAATAATAATATTTTACCTGACGAAAAGCGGATCGAGACCAAACCGAGACCTGTGCCTCCAGATATTTGTTGCCAGGTTTTTAATAATACAGGATATCCTATCTAACAACCAGCTAGTGTGATAGCCTGAGACTTATTATAAGTTAGGGCCAAAACGTGCTTTTGATATATTTACGTTTTTTTTCCAGGCCAGAGATAGAAACGGAGCCACTCAGTTCATCCCTGTATGAAGGCTATGGTTTTGCACACAATACTTATCACGGACCTACGAGGCATTTGAGAGCACCTCTCAACGCTATAACTGGATCCCCTGTGAGTAACGCTTTTACTTGTGTGAAGTTCTCTCAATATACCTCAGGACATAGTTGATCTCACCAATGCATATCACGCTTCTCGTTTTCTGGCTCTTCTTTCGTTTATTTAAGACTATCATCACCTCAATAGATATAACATACGAACTAGAAATCAAAGATTATTCATATCAGAATTTTATTCTTATAAGCTTTATGCCAATATGCGAGATATATATATATGGATTAGACAGTTAAATTTATCTATATTAATCTTATAAAGAGAAAAGATTATTTGTTTGTACCTAATGGATAAACTCAAAAATATCTATAGAAGAAGCTATATTATCAGCTAGTAAACTAGAAGTGTTTATAAGTGTTTATATATAATATTATAATAAATACTTTATCGCAATCTCATTCAAACCTTTATCCTTTATTTTATGAAGCATCCGCTTTGGTATTATTGTTTAGAGAAAGATTCTGTCCCAGCAGCGAGATAAGGTATGAGCTACGCAGGTGACAAGTATGTTTCTTAATTTTTACTATTTTTTGTAACAGATATCGAGTCTACAAACAGAAGAGCAAAAACCCATACGTTTCACTGATTCACCGACTCATTACGCTCATCCTTCGTCATCGTCTGGATACGGGCATTCAGCTCAACCGCTTTCTGGAACTTCTGGACTTGGAACTAACTATACATCTACGCAACCGCCCACTCCGTCGCCTAGGCGAACTTCCTCAACCACATCAGACCACCTGGCTGATTTATACCACAATTATAGAGAAAACTTCCAACCATCGCCCTCCCAAGACAGGGATTATTATTACAGAGCGGAACCATACACGTACGATAGGACTGCTGATTATGTGGTGAAACATCCGTATTATGGGTACGATGAATGTTCCTTTGAATATAGGGAGCCAACCCCCGACTACCGACCTCCGGCGCAGTACCTCACTCACAGACGAACCCCCTCAAATTCATCAGCTTCCAACTCCCACCCTGAAGAGTTTTCTCCATCAAGACAATTCAGGACTGACAAATACGCGTGTAAAGAAAGAAGAGACGATTATCGTTCACCTAAAAATGAATATCCCAGAAAGACAAATGACTACTCTTTACCGCGAGATTTTTATAGACAAGACTCTCAAGAGAGAGCCGAAGTGGAAAGGCCCGCAAATCTAGGCCTGGAATTAGCGCCGACGAAACTTCGGTCGAGTTTAAAAAAGTATAATAAGAAGACTAGCGCTTCTGGTGGCAGTTCAGGCGGTGGAACACCAACCAATCCAACGCCTCCAGACAGTTTGACAAGCGAAACGGACAGTTCATACGTGTCGGCTAGGGACGCTTCTAGCGGATCACAGTCTAGGGTTCGCTTCAGCCCAGAGACCATGGAAGGAAATGCGACCGAGAGGAGGCCGTCGCGACATTCGTAGCGAAGGCTGAAGAAGTTCAACGACTACCTTGTTTGATTTCACAGCGGGACTGTATATACGCTTGCAGGTAGTACGTGGAACGCTTGTTATGCATCTTAACTGATTTAAATAGGCCCTTTCGCATAAGAATTGCAACATCGCGGTAATCTGTTAAATTTTGAGATTTTTTTTTCTGTAAAATACATAAAATATACTCCCTAAAATTGTGATGAATGTGTAATGTAAATGAGAAAAAAGCTGTTTGCAATGGTCATGCAAAGACGATTAACTGATAGAATACTCCCATAAAAATATACAAATTGTCTTGACTTCACTGTTTATAAAATATGGAATATAATTAAAGATTGTGTTCCACAAAAAAAGGCTTCAATTGTAACAAAACCAATTATTTTGATCTAAAAATTAAAGAACTGAACCGATTTTAATAAAACTTTTATGGGACCAATTTGTAAATATATCCTTTCAGATAAATATAATTTTCTAAATCGGTTTACAACTGACGGAGTTACGAGTTAACAAACAAAAAAAATGCAACCCAATTGACAACCTCCGTCTCTTTGAACTCTGTTGAAAAACCACAAAATTTAAAAACAGATTTCAACGTGTGATTGTTATTAGAAAGGGCCTCTAATATTCAAAACAAAATGTTCAAGTGTCTTTTGTGAACATATTGCTGAGCAATTTAAATATATTTGAAGCGAACAAGACACGGGCTTCGTATGAAATAAGGTTTATTTTAAATACCATTGGTTGTTCGCGGTAGCTATAATTAAAGCAAATGTAACTTTTTTGTCACTTGGGTAGTTACTAGTGTAATTACCATATGTAATAATTAAGCCGCCATTATAATACCGTGTCTGGTGGAAATACTGCAATAAGCTATGTATAATCGCAACTGTGTTCATTATTTAATGTAATTGTGTATTCCCATTGTACATTAATGTATAATAATATATATATGTATGGATATATCGTAATAATTCACAGGCTTACCATTTATTAACCACGCGTTTACAGTTACAGTGCCTAAGAAGTTCATAATAGTATTTACCTCAGCATAATCATTGAAATTTTATTTATTTGCATAGATTTATATTATGCGTTCTTGAACTGTTTGATAAATCCATATAGATAATATATATTTATACTTATTAATATATAATATATTAATACGTATAATATATCATTATTTTTTTTTGTATCCGGATGAAATTTGGATGGCGTACTTATATACTACAACAATGAAGGCACATGACGCTACTAAAATGCTACCATGTACAAAATGTAAATAATCCATTTTTTACCCAATATACCGGCATTTTATTTGTTAAACGTTGTTCATGCGATAGCAACTTTCCTTTTTATTTTGTTAAATTATAAATAGTACAAATGTATTTTTAAGACGTTTTACGAACAATCATTCGAATGATGAATATTATTTTTAACATTTGGCATAAATATGTAATGTATATTTGAACTAACAATTAATATATTATGTATGTTAAAAAAATAAGTCAGTATGTGTTTTGTACAGAAATGAAGCAAATGTTAGATATTTTTTACTTGAAGGTTCAGTAAAAGTTATCAAATAGTAATAAGTACAGCTTTTGTATCCCACAGTGAAACGTAAAATTAGTTAGAATTACTAGTCGAAATTTTGCAAAAAGTATAAATAATATATTGCATATCCAGCTGTAATTGATATTATATTCGATTATAAGCTTTCTTACCCAAAACACTGGAATCTTTCTTAATATCAATATATATTCTAAACATAGTTTTTATTTCAGATACTTGATGGCCTGTTTACAATAACATTTGGATATGTTTAATAAAATTATCATGCAGTTTAGAATAAATTAATATAAGATGTATATCGGAAATTTAATTAATTAAAATTAGCTTTGATATTATTAGCTGAAACCAGTGCCTAATATTTGCTGGAATGGTTTTTGAGATTACGTAATGGATAAGTGAATGCGTAATTGGATATTCGGATAGCATTTTTTTTTTATTGTGACGGCCAGTAACTTAAATAGGTCATACCATTTGAATTTTATTTTTTGTGCAATATGAGGAATTTTTTACGTCCATTTTTTTTTATTTAGAAATTTACTTATTATGTTATTATATATTTATGAAACAAAATCGTCGTGAGTTTAACAGTATTTTTATGCAGTATTTGAGATTCATTATGCTAATTATACAATGAATTAATATTGCAATTTATTCTATATTAAGTATATTCTATGTTGTACTGTGTAGTTTATAATTTCTTAAATTAGCTTGAATCAGTGCCAATGTCCAGTGTCTTAAGTAATGAAGTCATTAATTTTCCAGTAGATTTCCAAATCTTTTTGTTTTAGTACAAACCAAATCCTAACCAAATTAATTTAAGATTTTATCAGATTCTGAGTCACAAATTGTTTTCGAGTCATAACTACACACCGTTGTAAATATATAACGAGATTCACGGCGCGATTATTATATACAAAACTCTAGTCTTGAAATTTTTATTTAATTTTAATATCAGGCTAGTATTCGAGTTGTAACGAACGACTGGCGAACGTACTGCGAATGAAATATTGTGAAATGTATAAACGATATTATTGGGCATTCCATTTTTTGTAAACTTTACATTCCATTGTTAAGGTAGGCGATAGACATTGGTTTTTCATATTCACCTTAAATAGTTTTAGTACTGTAATCGACACGTTGAATTCAGTCGCTTCCAAAAACAGTGTCTATTTCCAACCTTGTCCGAAGTGATATTATGCTCACAAGCGTTCATTAGTCGAAAGTAAACGGTGGTTCTGTGTGCCAATAACACGAGGTGGGAGGATGCCTTACATCTGTACGTTAAATCGACAAATAAAAACTAGTATAAGCTTTTTAATGTGTCTTATTATTTCTGTACTTATATGTATGCTTAAAGTTTGTATTAATCTCCTTATTCAAAATCTTGTCATCAATAGTGAAGTCTGGATTAACTATCATTTTATCCAACACTAGTAACTTTTTTTTTTCTGAAAAATTAAGGCACAAGTCTTGCAAATTGCTAACACATTCTGGAAAGTTTTTATGGTGTTGCTTACCATATGCCTGTTTCCTTGGTGTGCTCTTGATGTTGCCTATGGTTTTCAACGATTTAATAAAAAAAAAACAATACTTAAAAGAACCATTTATTCAATACTGGATATATTTAAATTCTAAATCAGTGCAATTATAAAAACATAAAGTGCTCTTACTGTCTACTTAACTATGTATGATAGTATATACAATTCACTTATTTTATGTGGTACAAAAGTAAAAAATATAAGCATTAAACTGCGTATAATTATATTTTTTGTGATAAATCCGATGTGATTGAAATTTAATTCCTTATCAATACTTATGCATAAAACATGCACTTATCGTTAGATATAGTATCAATTCAGTTTCTTAATCTACAAATTTCATAAAAGTGCAGTTGTATAAAATAATCTCATCACAATGTCTTTCATATAGGTACCTACTTACAATGTAATTTTAATTGGAGGACACAACATAAGTATTTCAATTTTAACCCTGTAATATTTTGATCCAACTTATAGTTTACTTTTTAAACCAAAACATTCTAAGCTACGAACTAGTCTTTACCAGAAATATCACAATCATCGACATGTACATCTGTTAACTTTTATCATAATTCATCATCTTACCAACTATAGAGCTGGACTATTTGACTAGTAATATTGTGAATGTCTTTTTCATGAAACTAAAATGTCTTTAATATTTGAGCAAAATTTACATAAACATTGTTTGTCTTAGGAAAATAAAATTTTATTTTACCCATTGGCCTGATAACAAATTACAAACTATTCTAAATTACACTCACAGTTCTTCCATTGGCCAAATTTTCGCTTAAAACTAATATTAAATGCAGAATTTATATTACAATTTAATAAATTTGAATTTCATCTCAAAACAGCATCAAAACAGGTGTAATGGCGTCTACACAATAGTTGTGCCTTTATAAATGTGTCCAGTCAAAAACAATTACTATCAGATATTAACATTTTGTTTAGTAAGAAGAAAATCTATAATTATACAGTAAGATATCGTTTGTTCAGATCGCAATTTTGTTAAAAATTATTAAAAACACCTGTAAAATGACTATAAAAAAAATAGAGACCATTAAGTATTGAAATATTTATAACCATAATTAATTTAATTCTTTATTATTGTCTTCATGCCAATTAGTTAGCAACCTTGAACGAAACAAAACCTATAATAAATAAAGTTAATAAATAATTAACAATACTTATATTAGGTATGTTCCTAAAAACCGAAATCTAAACAACATTTATTTATTAGTCCGTTATAGAACTTAACATTTACTAGAACTGCTTTTATTACCTCAAGACGTAATATCAAATGGATTTTCAAATGTATTATGTTAACACATTTATTTTACACCCGGGTTGAGGCACGATTGTTTTGAATTTTGACTGGAAAATATATTTCAAATAAAGACGAAAATGCACACCTAAGAAATACCATTTTTATTTTCGATATAAAATGTATGGAAGAACTTTTATAATCTTATATAGACAATTTTTTAACAGAACATAATCATGACAGCATTATTGTTATCCAATTCAAAATTACCTGCCACCTAAAAACCTCTTATTACGAATATCTGCCATCATTTATTATTTCAATGGCAAATTGCCAAACAAACAGTTTAATTTGGCAAATATTCAGAGGAAACCATTAAATTTGCTTTTTTTATTTAGCGAATTGTCTATGTATAGGCATTTTCAAGTCCAATACTGAATATTTCATCAGTTAAATTGCGTTTAATTTTAATCATTGGTGACATTTGAGCTGATTCTGTGGCGTCATTTCAAAATTTATTTGTTAACCTATAATTTAATTTAAAACAATTTCACGAAATTACTGTTTTATGGATCATCATAAACTAAATATATAATAATTTTGACTTAAACTTATTAAAAATTTAGTTAATTTTGGTCCTTTATACAAAGATTTCGCTGTGATATCCAGTTGAAATTTCAGAATGGCACATCAGAATCAGGCTATATTGAGACTTCACTGGCTTCTTTGCTGTGTTGCCGTTACAACTAGCTTCTATTTTAGACTTCGTTAACAATTTTATTATATTTAACACATACTTGGTTTATGTACGCGTCTTTGTTAGCTTATTGGTAATTTTCTCTACGAGGGGAGGTCAAAAAGTTCGCAAAATGAAGGAATTGCTTGGGGTTGTTTTACTCGTCCAGGTAGTCACTTGTTAAGCACTTCATTAAGAGTATATATACTAAGTATGAAACCAATCGGGTCATTAACTTTTGAATTATCGACCTGCAAACAAGTGAATCGGGAAGAAGTCAGCGAATGTGGAGAAAATTGATTACCGTACCGTTATTTCCTCACCAAGCAAGGAAAATCCGCTCAGACGATTTTTCAAAAGCTGTTACCAGTTTACGCGGACTCTGCCCCTGGTATAACCATGGTTTACAAGTGGCATGGTCTTTTCAAACAAGGAAGAAAGTCTTGAAGCCCCCGCTCCGGACGTCCAATTGAGACCACCACACCGGAAATCATTGCAAAAGTAGAAAAACTTGTATTATAAAATACCAGGCTGAAGAAGAAGCAGCTTGCAGCAATGGTTGGAATATCCGTAACAAGTATTTTAAATATTCTACATCATCATCTTGGCATGACTAAGGTCAGTGCAAGATGGATTCCAAGAATGCTTACGCCACTTCAAAAAAGTGAGCGTGTTGAGTATTCTCGCTAGTTTTTGGAGCTCTGTGGAGAGTAGGGAAGAAGTTATGGCCCAGATTGTTACTGGAGATGAATCCTGGGTTCACCACTATGAACTTAAGTCGAAGCAAAAATCGACGCAGTGGCATAAAAAAGGCAGAATTCCTCCGAAGAAGTTTAAATGTCACAATCGGCCGGAAAGATCATGGTACGACAACGCTCCCGTCCACACGTGCCATGTTGCAACGGCTGCCATTCACCAATGCGGGTTTAGAAAATTAGACCATCCACATTACAGTCCAGACTTGGCCCCCAACGACTACTATTTATTCCCAAAAATAAAAAAGGAGCTGCGTGGATTTCGGCCTATTTTGACAGCAAAGATAAACATTTTTTTTTTCGATGGTATAAACAAATTATTTGAGAGATACGAAAAATGTATTAAGGTTAAGGGAGAATATATTGAAAAGGAAAAATAGTTTTATGTTTAATTTCAACTCCCTTCCCCCTCATTCCGCGAACTTTTTGACTTCCCCTCGTATGTCTTAAACGATTCATATACCTATATAGTATATATAACTACCCCTAATATGCTAAAGACGCCTAGAAAGCCTTCTAAGTTTCTAAACGAAATTAGATGTTGATTTGAAACTGATATTATACCTGAATTAATAAAAATCCATCAAATGAGTGCATGACATTCTCTTGGCCGTTTTTTATTCTTTTAATTGATATGCTATTTATTCTCATTATAATGTATTTATTAATGCATGTATGTATAATATGTATTTGTTTTGTGTACTTAGATTGTTCTGTATTCGAGACAATTTCAATTTCTTTTATATCCATGTTTGCATAGTATTCCCTTGTATAATATGAAATTATAATATTAAAATAGGTCTATTAAAATCTGTTTCGGGCGACTTTGCTTACGCAAGACCCTTTATCTCCCGATACAACTTAAAAGCTAAGGAAGTACCATGATAATCTCAAGTCCGAATATGGAAACATTAAGGACGATTAACTTGGCGACATCTATTCATCGTCATCTACTAAAAATATTTTTAAAATGCGATAAAAGTATGATTTACTGATTTTGTTTTTAAGTTTTCTAGTTTCATATATTCAAATATAGTTTCGTAGTACGATAAATAAATTGAATTTTATAAAATAAGTGCCACCAAAACCGGTCTACGGATGGGCATTAAAAAAAACTACTAGCAAGCTCCAATTATACTACATAAATTAGATATACCTATCAAATGAAACAAAGCAATTTTATTACTTCGTAAAAATTCTTTAAGGTCTTAAGAGAATAACTGAAAGTCAGCTAATTTGACATATAGCTGACAAAAAGTTGACCGTTTTTTAAATTTGAGGCTCTATCTATATTGTCTAAGGATAGAAGTTATATTCGATTAAATTTAAAAAAAAAATTGCCAAGGCTCTGACGTTAAATCTAAATCCATCTCCTAAATCCTTGACTAAGGCCTTGACCTTAGACCTTTAAAATTGTCGCTCCGATCTGGTTAACGGATACACTTTTAGTCTTTATAAATATTTTATGTATATTTTTTATATATGTCATGGAATTATTACGACGATGATAATACGATGTGATATTGTAATGCATTATTTAAAATATATTGTATATATTAAGTCATTTTATGTGACAATTTTTTTATTACTTTCTATTTTGTCTATTGTAACAGACCTAATGTGAAAACACTAATATATTCATGCAATACGTTGTGTAGCTAGTTGCAGGTATATCTTGGAAATATTTACCAACAGGTAGGATAGATCTAATGGTCAAAGTCCGATTTATTATTACAGTCCAAAAGAGCAGTCCGATATATTGTGATAAAGGTACACAATTGTAATAACATTTTAGGCTCATATATGGATACAATTTGATCAGACAGATGACCTGAACAGATCACTTGATAGGTCATATGAGGCCACAACTATCTTTTTATTTTTTTGTTGTTAACACCAACGGATAAATACAATCTTTTATGTAAACAATGTAGTGTCTAATTGATATGTATGTGCGAAAAGTATACCTATCTTTCATACTTTATAGTATTAAGTATGTACAAATAAAAATAGATTTTATAATAT